TTGCGCCGGGTTTTCTTTCCCTTCGCTCTCGCGTGTCTTCTTTATTTTCCTCCGGCGGGACCTTCTGCTTTCTCTTAGTGTGTTTTTAACGCGCCATTTACTTTCCTGCTAATTTTTCCGGCGAACGACAATTTCCTTCCATTAACGGGCCACCGAAGACGCGACGCGGTTCTTCGAGCGGAGGGGGCTGAAAGGGTGGCGCTGTTATGCAATTAGAAATAATGGAGATGCGGATTTATTTAGGTCTGGCGAAAGTGATGGAGGATTTTGGTTCTTTTTTTGGTGTTCGATGGACGTGTTCGCATTGAAATGTTAGTTGGGGATGTCGGAGTTGAAGGGAATTGTGATTGTATGTGTGACTGTGTAAATGATTGAAAGTAGATTGAATTCTGTGTCGTTGGAATTGATTTTCTGGAATCTGTTGGGATGAATATTTTATTAGTTGTGAATGTTTGTTTAATTGTGTGTAATATATGAAGTATAAACGATAGAACTATTTACGTTTCAGAGTTTGAATCTCGTAATTTTATGAGTGATTAGGAATCTCGTAATAGTTTCAAAATTACCTCAGAATTATTCCAATATTATTAGTATTTACATTTCAAAATTTAAATCTGTTACTTTCATAAATGATTTGAAATTCGAATCTGATAATAGTTTCAAAATTACCTCAGAATTATTCCAAAAATTATTAGTATTTACGTTTCAAAATTTGAATCTCCTAATTTCATAAATTATTTAAAATTCGAATCTGATGATAGTTTCAAAATTATCTCAGAATTATTCCAAAAAGTACTAGTATTTACATTTCAAAATTTGAGTCTCTTAATTTTATAAATGATTTATAATTCGAATCTGATAATAGTTTCAAAATTACCTCAGAATTATTCCAAAAATTATCAGTATCTACGTTTCAAAATTTGAATCTCTTACTTTCATAAATGATTTAAAATTCGAATCTCGTAATAACTTCAAAATTGCCCCATCATTATTGCAAAAATGATTTTCAAACTTTTTCTTCCAATTTATGAAGATCAAACAAATAAGTAAAATACCTCAGAAAAATTTATTGTTAAAGAACTTCGCAGTCAATTTATTCTTGTCGCCGTAAAACAACCCAGACCTTTCCCGGTCGAATGTTGAAATGAATAACCATCGCAGGAGCATGAGAGCCCGGTGTTCTCATTGCCGGCCATCCTATCATCGTATCTTTCCTTCGAATCCGCGGTAATGCCGGCAGTTCCTTCCCGCGGGACCAGGGAGGATCAAAAGATTTAATAACGTGGATTACTCCACGCGAGAAAAGCCGCAGGAAGTCGCGCGCGCAGCTCTGGATCTCGCTTTAGTACGATTTAGGCGCGATTTCCATTTATAGTCGCGCGGAATTTAAGCTTCGAACGATCGTTCATCAGCGACGATGGGAACTGAATTTTGGTGATGTGTAATTTGTAGTAGAATTTTTATAATTTGTGACTTAACTCTAGTTTTTTTATGAAAAAAGTAAACCTTACTGAACTGTGGGTAGATTAGTTAGATAGTTATAGAATAGGATAGGTAAGGAAAAGGAGAGATTTAGAATTTGATGGTGAAATAGAATGGGACACTATATATAGGGTGTTTGTGAAAAGTGGAATTTAATTTTGGGAATATGTTTATCAAAACAAATGGAAAGCATTTAATAAGCAAACTATTACTTTTGGAGTTTCATCGAAATTTAGTAACAGATATTTTGATTAGAAAGATATTCCTTATTTGCCGATAGTAGTTTAGTACTGGCTAATAGAAGTAGATTTACACTGTAGTAGTATAAATCAGCGATTAAATAAATGAAACATAGTTGAGAGCAGCTATAGTAAAGATCATTGATTAGCGGAAATTGATTAATCTTCAATTTTCCAGGTTTCGACAATTAGGCAAGTAATATAGGTCAATGAGTGATCAGCCAATGAGAAATTAAATGTTTCAAACAAGTGATTCAGTAATTCATCAAGATGTTACGAAGTATTCTTCTAATCATTCTTTTAATTGATTCTCATGATCATCTGAGATAGTAAGACCGTTTAAACGAAAAGTTCCATTTAAAGACTGTAGGATTATCGTGATGTTTGACACGTTAATTGCGCTTTAATTGAGCCAAAAGTCGTCGAATTTTTCTCTGTCGAAGTGTAAATTCCCAACAGTTTTCTGCTCGATGGATCAAAGGTTCGCACCGGCCCTTTGACCCGCCGGCACGGTCATTCGAGCAGCCTGAGCAGGACAAACAGGAAGTTCTTAACACGAAGCGAGTTCCTCCGACAACTACACCTTTGTTTCAATTACGAGGCCCGGTGCTCTTGCTCTAATTAAGTGTTACTCTACTGCCGAAACTTGCTAGCTACTGAATGCTCATTACGAGAAATAATCTTGACCAGTTCAGAAAACCAGGAGAAATATCAAAGATCATGGAATCTCTTTTGATTCGGTTAAATCGGTTAAATTGCTTTGTAAACAATATTACTTAATTTTTATTTTATCTGTATGAAGGTGTTACGGAGCTACTTCTAATGACAAAATAGAAAATGTTAATTCCACTAAAAAAATTCTTATAGAATAATTCTCTTTAATTATCTATTAAGTACAGTGTCCGATAAAATTTTAGACTTCTTTCAGTTCTTTTTCTGTAAGTAGAACCAGCATGCCTTTGATCAGACAAACAGTGTGTGACTGTGATCATGTATTGACAGACTCTGATTGTTGAATCAACCATTGACATGTTCTAGTCGTCTGACTAATGGGCTACGGGTATCACTTGTCTGGCCAAGAATCAAACTGTTCTCCTGAAATCAGTTAATATCGACTCGTATCACTTGTTTATCTAAACATTGATGTAAACTATGTGATTATCCAATGATTTATGTCAACCACTTGTCACAGCAATATTTTACGAGTAGATTAATGTCAAATAAAATTTTCGTTCTACAATTTTCACAATCTACTTCGTACTCTTTTTGTAAAAATTATAACCATGTATTTACTTAAATCTTCAGTAACTTATACTTCAATGGATTATAAATAAATCTATCTTACTAATTTTAAAGACAGAAGTATCTATCCCATAGTTTTAAAATATGAAATTCAAAACTACTTATTTTATCAAATCTATGAATTCTACTGTGAGAATTATTATTTGATTTTATTACCCATCTCGCAGTTAAATTCTCTATAAACTGAAGGACATCGACAATCCGCTCATTAACAATCGATTACCCGAACACACCATTTGTCCGTCGAAACGCTGACTCACACTCCTATTAGAGGACAGAAACATCTTTTGTTTGCCAGACAAATAGACTGGAAGGTCAGTCATTGGTCAAATATATAGAGCACAGTCGTTATTGATTCCCGAACTGTTACTTAACAATATACCCTCCCAAGGAAATGAAAGTTTCCGATACGTTCCGCCGAGAGAAACGAGAGACAGGATTCTCGGCGCAATAAGATATAACAAGAATCGGTGTGGCAACGGTCGGACGATTTTTTACGACCACGGAGAAGAAAGATGGAAAGAGGGAGAAGAACTGTTGGCGATGGTACGTGCAAGCTTGCAGAAGGCGTCGAAGCCAATCTGCTCGGTGAATCCGGCATGGTCGAAGGGGTAAATAACGTCGTTCGTTACAGACCTGTTTGGAAGGGTGTCAAATGATTGCCGGCGCCGAGATGGCGACCGATACCATTTTTTTCAAAGCCCGAAATCAGGATTCTCGTGTTTCCAGTTCGATGAGCTTTAACACTACTGTATTTAGCGGAAAACCATTCGTGTTTTCGGAAATAGAAGAGAATTTGTAGCCGCACAAAAATTAATTGGAGAGAAACCATTCGTAGTGTGTAGTTGGTGGTCGCACAAAAATGAAGCGAAAGATTGTTTAAGGTGTCGAAGCTAAAAGAAAATTTCTACTTACGCAAAAATTAATTATCGAAAAACTATTTGTGTTGGTGAAAATAGAAGGAAATTTGTAGCAACAAGAAAATTAATTAGCGAGAAATTATTCGTAGTGTGTAATTGGTAATCGCACGAAGATTAATTAGCGAACAATTATTTGAGTTGTCGAAACTAGAAGAAAATTTCTAGTCGCACAAAAATTAATTAACGAAGAAGTAGTTCCTATTAGTTTGTTAATTGAATGGACGGATAAGTTCAAGTTCTCATTAAACGTTCAAACTTCTAAACGTTGAAACTTGAAAAATGTTGAACCTCTGAACTTTTACAATTTAATCCTTCGCGCTCGACCTTTTCCTTGGGCATAGATCTTACTTGAAGATCTATTTCTTAGTCCGGTACAAATAAGCACTTGGGAAAAAAATCTGTGAAGACGTTCTGCTCTTTTTTAATGAAAACTCTGAATATAAAACTGAGATTGAATTATAATCAGAATATTTCTGACAACAAATTTGCCACTAACTGTTTAATGTCAATCTTCATACATGGCGCGATCTACCATTTTATTATCATTAATATTCATCCATTAACTTTCTTCCTCGTTATACATTTATAAATTTTCTATATTTAATTATACCTAAGAATCATTGAAACTGGTTTCCTTCAAACCAATATCAGTATCATTGTCAATAAAATACACAGATACACAACAGAGTTTTAGTACTAAGAAAATAATGAGGCAACACCATAAAAAAACGAAAGAAAAATTCTATATATTACTACCTGAATCACAATAATTTTTAAAAGGTGCAAAGAATAAATAAGGTAAGAGCTTCATTAATTTTCTTCTTCATTTTACCTTCATAAATTTTCTGTATTTAATTATGCCTAAGAATCATTTAGACTAGTTTCCTTCAAACCAATGTCAGTATCATTGTCAATAAAATATAAAGATACACAACAGAGTTTTAATACTAAGAAAATAATGAGGCAACACCATAAAAAAACGAAAGAATAATTCTATATATTACTACCTGAATCGCAATAATTTTTAAAAGGTGCAAAGAATAAATAAAGTACTTACGATGCACCATTCGACCGAGGGCGGACAATCCTTCAAATGCATGTGCGCGGTGTAATTGATGCACGGCGTGACGCTGCCGATTCCGTCGTTGTACTCACCGCATTTGTAACATCTGATGCCGTGTGCTACCCCTGAAACACCGTAATGGAGGTGTGAATTTGTAAACTACCTGATAACGATGCTATTGTTCCATCGCTAGGTACATTAAGTAGTTATTGGGCTAATTAAGAACACAATGCAATGAAGAATCGATTCCCCTCGAGAATGTGAAAGAAATATCTCGCCCGAATTCCATTGCATTGCGTTCATTAAGTATTTAAAATTTGAATAGAATATGACGAACCATGAAACGTATCCAAAAATATTCGTATCCTTTTATATTCAATTTTCTTTCGTAAAATCTCGTGAACTTTTGATTTTCTCGGTAATACAGGACACCTAATATTTATATTACATAACATTACATAATTACTAATTACATGAAAATATAATTAATTAATAACTAACACAAAAGTAATCAATTTTAATTAAGAAACCTGAAGTGACATTTACATTCATCGAATTCACTCGTCCATTATCAATTAGCAACCCTCGTAAAGATGACAATTCTCAAATTCCTTCCACATCCCAATAAATCAACAAAAAAAATTACATCTAACACAGTTGCAAAGGAAATCGTGATAACGAGCATGTCGATTCCATTAATTCCCTTCGCAGTTCTATTCCAGCGGAAAAATTTCCATCGCTAAAAGGCTCGGCGCAAATGGCAGAAGAAGCTCCGCCCTTAACCTTCCTTCGAATTCGAATTAATAGGACGGAAAAAAGTTTCAAACGAGCGAGCTCTCGATAAGTCAAGTGCGTTGCACCTTTCCCCTCCCCTCGCCGGGGGTTGAACTTCGAACAGGTAACAGGCACCACGGGGAAATTGCTTACCAAAGTAGAAATTAGAGACGCGTGTCGCTTTGAAGCTGAAGGGTGGCAAACTTTTCAAGCGGCTCGTCCGTTCGAGCTTCGAGCCTCGGCTTTGCCGGGGCCAAAGACACGCGTTGCTTAGTCGAACTGTCTGATGAAGAGCAGCCTGGTGTGATCAGCTGCCTCAAAAGACGTTAAATATCCCTAGCTTTCTCCGTCCGACCTCTCCCACGGTATTGGATTCCAGAAGAGACGAGAAATTTTTCGCGAAACCCGCCCCCGGAATGTCTCCCATAGACTTTGATGTCGCTGATGGAATTCGGGCGAAGATCTTTTTTTCACTCTTTCGGGGGGAATCGATTCTGCATTCACGGTACCCCGTGCTTTTGTGCCGCAGATTAAGGGGATGAACTAACTGCTGCTTTCAGCGAGATGATGTTCGATTTAAAGGGGCCTTTCTGCTGGAACCGTCGAACGGAACCAAGGAATTCTTGCTTTGATCGGATTCAGAGTAATTTGCCGAACTGTGATTAACGTTTGTCAAGATTCAATGTGTGCTTAGTGTATTATTGTTTGGGGGGTTTAGCGTGTCGGTGGATGTGTTGATGGAGGAGATATGGGATGTTTGAGGAGTAAAGGTTTAGCGAGCTTGAAAATGTATTTTACACGTTGATGTGTTTATATGTAATTTGTATGTGATTTGTTGTTGATAAAATTAATAATATATGTGTTTGGGAAGGCTGTATTCTTTATAGTATTGTATATATTACTGTCATATTAAAATATTTATCATTACTGGTACTGATAATACTAACTTATATTACTATATATTTAAATAAGTATAAATAAAATTTTACTAGAACGAATGGTACTAGTAAATTAAATGATAAAGAAATAGTATACTTTATATTATACTGCTATATATTTAAGTATACACATAAAATTTTACTAGAATAAATAGTACTAATAAATTAAATAACAATGAAATAGTAACTTAAAATTAGAAACTCCAAACTCTCAATTCCTTAACACTAGAATTACCAAGCACTTAAATAATCTTTTTAAAATTCCTTTACAACCGCTATCAGCATGAATTTATTAAGATTTAAATCAGTTTATATTTCAGTTCAGGTATTACCAAATTTTCTTTAATCATTTCCTAAAGAAGTATCTGTTCGCAGTAATTCTAAGTGAAGAAATTAGGAATTATTCATTTCGACCAATTTGCTAGCTCTAGTATTAAAACAACCAGAACAAAAATTAAATCTCTATTCTCTTTGAAAAAGATAAAACAATCGATACTCCAGAGAGAATGTAGCATAAAGAAAATGAGGTTCCAAAGGACTGCAGAGGCATTTAAAAATGGCCGGACACTTCCCACCGGAAGCGTGTCTTACACTCGAATACGAGGACAATGTAAAACAGCAAAACAATCGCCGCAGCCGTGGAATGGATTTCCAGGGAAGAATCGCGAAACTTTGTATCGTTTCGGCCTCAATGTCCCTGGATATCCCGGGATCTCGTTCAGGATACGGGGGTAGGGGGCGGGGGAGTGAGTTTGGGACGAGCTCAGGAACAGTTTCCAGCCAGAATAGATATTCCAAAGAAAAGTGTCGCGGTTTCTTGAAGAAGTTGGAGGCCCGCACGCGAATTTACGAGGGACGGTTAACTGCTTTAATGGCTCGTATCAATTTTCACGTTCCAACGGCTCCGGAATTAATCGATTCAGAAGTGGCTTCGTGTACTGTTAAGATTTGGCTCGGGAATGATTCGAGAAAGTACCTTGGAACTTTCGCAATTATTCCTCGCCGTTGTTCTTACCGAGATGGAACAGTGGATTTATCATGTTGATCGAGGAGAATGTGGACTGATGTACGAATGACTTTTCAAATATGTGCATGATCATTCGTGGAACGTTTCAAACGATCATTTGGAAATGGAATTTTTCAGAATGCAATTTAAAATTAGATGGAGAAGTAAATGTTTCTTAGAATATAGTTTTCTTAAGGATATCGTTGCTAGTAGTATAAGGCAACGATTAGTCGGACTTTTTGCAATTAATCCTTTGCACTCGAGAGGTGACTGTCAAAATTATAAAGTCTTATATATAATATCAAGCTTTGTATCGTACATCAATATATGGAATATTGAAATAAAATAACTTTTCTTCTTAGTTTATCTGTTTCCTCATTAATTAGTTTCAATGGACATCGTCTGTACCTCATCGGAGAATGTTGAATATTTCTAGTGAAAAACTATCGAGCAAAGGGTGAATGTAATAAAATTGTTTGAATACTTTTAGTGGTGAAATGAATTTTTATCGTCTGAATTTCAACATTTCAGTGTTAATAATATTAGCATTTCCCAAAGGTAATTATTAGTATTACTAGTTTACTAGTAGTATGCATCAACGTTTAAGGAAACGTAAGGTATATCTGTACTTATCAAATAGTAAAGATCAGCGACTGGTCTGACACAGACACTCCTCAAGCGTTATCTAAATTTCATGCTAGACTTCGGTGCTCGAGCAAGTAGTTCAGATCGACGAATGGTCAGTACACGGAAACTGAATGCCCATGGCTGAGCTTAAAATCAATAGTAAACATCAGATCGCGTCCCAATCACTTCCATAACTCCGCCGGAGTCTTCGAGCAGTGAGACGCGTAACTGCGAGACAGTAATCAATACTCCATTCGAACTCTCGAGAAAATAGCGGCGAACAATCATTAGTAGACTTCTCCCTTCGAAGAGCGGCGATTACAGCTGCTGATTTCCAAGAGGAACCATCATCCCTTAGCCATTTACCATGCCCAGCTGTCGGGGCAAATACGCGACGTAGAATGAACCTATTAGCGCGTTGTTAAACTGGTTGGCACTTCTAATGGACCCGAAACTTCAAAATTTCCATTATCTGACTAAGAACGAAGAAGTAAGTAAAATGACACATTTCATTCCATTTCAAGTGATATTTAGTCAGCAATATTTCAAGGAATGTTCCAGTGAGATTTTTATTCATTCATTGTGCAGGAAGACGATCTACGCATTGTTGAATTTTTTTATTACGTGATAGAATTTTATATTAATTTCTAATGGCCTTAAAATGATATTAACGTGTAGATGGTAATTAATGGAATTCATTTGACAAATGATTTCATAGACATGAGTGAATATTAATATATATTAATGTAACCTATGTAAAAATATATTAGACACATTTTCAGATGTTATAAACTTTTATTCATATATATGTATAATTATATATTTCGAGTCAAATGTTTAAATAACTTGAATTCCAGAAAAAAACATCACTATCATAAGCTGATTACACTTTTGAATAAAGTCCAAAGCCGGATGAGATTTTTACAGTTTCCATGTTAAAGTCATACACTCATAAAACTGTCGTAACTTTGATGTAACAAAAATGTCTGCTCTAGTTAACCTACATAGAAGTTAAAATATAATACATTCAGTCCCTTGGCTGACCAATAAAAGTATTGTTCTACTTGATTTCTAAGTGACTGTATTTTATGTTTCTCCTCTATCCCATACATCTTTTATTCTATTCAAATATTCAGTTTCACCATGCTTTCTCATAAAACCTTGAATATATCTAGTAAAAAACTTTCTACCGTAAAGTGTTAAACTCCATCGACCAAAAATCTTTCACAAAATATTCCTAGCTCCAAAAAATAAGAACACAAAAACCATCTGAGGCTCGTTAAAAACCACTAACAAAAGTTTCCCATGAACAACCATCATGGATTTCCGAGAGAACCGTCAAGGAATTTCTCAAAATTCCGGATAAGTGATTTTTAAGAGCGGAATCGCAGGATCGGTGGTTCTACGTCAATTTATCGCTTACGTTCGCTAGTTTAGTCGAAGCTGAGCTAATATCCTGGCCAAGGATTTCGGGCGATATATACATATGTACATATATAAATACATATATTTTTAGTATATATAATACATAGAATTCCTAGGAGCCGCCGACGATTCGCGGGAAATTGGAAAAGTTACCTTTTATCGAGTCCGCTCCGCCGCGGGGAGAGGATACGCGCTCATCCCCCCGGCCAACTTGTCGAGAAAAATATTTTATTGGAAATTGGAAAACATTGCGAGCAAAAACGACGAATTCCGGTTTAGGGATCCGGTGCCTCGGCCGAGCGTACTGCGGCCACGCCGGAAACCGTTCCACAAATTTCCGCAATTTTTCTATATT